CAAAAAAAGAAATTGATAATAGAGAACAAGGAAAGGACATTTCTTATAAACCAGAAGGAATTTGAAGATAAACAAGAAAAACAGATGAAAGAGAAGATAAATACTTTGGGACAACTGCATCGAACTAGAAAAATAAAGAGACTACCGGCTAAATCAACTAGTCCTCTTAAGAAAACATCAACTGGAAGTTCTTATCGACATTAAACAATAGCCACAACACTACAAGGAGATTTTTTCAATGATTTCAAGGCAAAAATACGAAAAATGACCTGGCAGAGGAAAAAAGCTAGGATAAGATTGAAAAAGATTGGGGTTCTGATCTATATATGAGATCTAAAATAGAATACATCTAAATAGATAGAATATGTACTCTGAACACAAGACATTGTAACGATTTGAGATAAAGAAAATGTTGGTCGTATAAAATCTAGAAATATGTTGAAATAAGAATATTATATTGTCATTAGATGGATAAGATAGATGGTAGAATTTATATATAAGGTGTGTATTTCAAATATTAGAATGTATGAGCAATCGGGATAAAGGAATTGTGTTTAATTAAAAATTTGGAAAAATTAAATATGAAATGTAATCTGCATGTCTACAAATAATTAAGATTTGAATTTAAGATATTGTTATGAGTTGAGACAAATGTTAAGTAAAACTTAAAAGTATAAGTACTAATAATTACATTTGTATATGGGTTTGTGGTATAAATGTTGGTGGTTTATTTTTATTTTTTTTCTCTTTCTGGAAAGGAAGAAAGGAGGAAGTAGAAGGAAGAAAAGAAAAGAAAAATTATTAGCTCCAAATGTGAAATAGGAGACTAAGAAATTGGGATAATTTAAAACCTGGAAATGATAAAGATTAAATGTTAAACTTAAATATCAATGGCAAATTAAAGTTAAAAAAACTTACTAGGTTATTGTCTAAAAGATGGAATGTCAAATTAATTAAGATATGTATAGACTGAAGATTATTGATGAATCTTAGAAAGGTATTTTTGTTTGATTAATAGAATAAGAACTGTATTGGTTTGAACATGATAGTAGATATCTTGGGGGGAAAGAGAGGGAATTAGTTTGTTGTAATAATTTGAGATTTGTACTGATGATATTTAAATGTAATGGAATTACTGTGCTCAGTCACCATGCTACTTTTCAAATATGTAAATGTAATATTGTACAACCAATAAAAAACTTGAAACTGAAAAAAAGAATGTTTCATTAAAAAAAAACAATAAGAAGAAAAACTCAATATGAAAAATTGACAACTAGAAGTTTACTAAAGGCACCTGATTACCTGCAGCATTCAAATCAAGCCCATTAATACTGTTTGTCTGGCCAATGGGAAATAGAATATTGCTTCAATGAAACTTTGCTGGCACTGTCATGCTTTGACTGTTTATGGGAACCCAAACATAAATAGAAAAATGAATGGTGATTATTTATTCTACACATTAGAATGTTGTATATATCTCATTCCCCCAAACTATTAATTTGTACTATATGAATAAGCAGAGAAATATGCAGAAAAAAGTATATGTAAGAAGAAGTTACACAATTCTGTTTCTGTTATATGTTTCTTCAATATTTCTGGAAACTTTAAAGTTCAAATTACAGCTTTGTTTTATGCACTTTATAAATGAAAGAACTATGTGAGCAATTATTTCAGGTGGCATAATATTTAAATGAAGATTCACTCTCAAAGAATCAATTCTTTGAAGGTGAATGTTTATTTTTATCTGGGCTCCAACATCCCTTTCTATGGAAAATGATGGAGATTTTACTTGGTTTTAGGTTGTGGTCCAGAATGGAGACAATATTGGTCACATGTGTCAATGACCTGTGAAGTCAGGATGCAGGTGATACATTCATCTGAGTACTCTTTGAACTCTCAGTAGTTTTTAATACTGTCAGCCGTAATATTCTATTAGACCAACTTCTTGGATTAATGTGGGTCCCGGTATTTCTAAGTGATTTTATCCATTCTCTGTGGTTCCAATCAGTGTTGACAAGGGATGAGATATTGTAACTATGATCCCTAATTTATCCAGTGCAGCAGTTTGGGTAGTGATAGGTGTATCAAAGTCTATACATCTGTCTCTGTTGCTTCATGAGTTACACTGATTGCCAGTTGGATTTCAGGTTTGATTCAAATTGCTAGCCATTGTAAAGGCTATGCTGAGCTACCACCTATCTCCATATGTTTTATCAGCTCTAGTAGCTACACAGGGCATCTTCCAGGTCCTATCTATTAAAAAGTGTTATTGTATAGGACCCAGGAAGTACCTTCTGATTGCTCCTAGCCTGTGGCATAATATCCTCCTGGAGACTCTGTCTGCTCCCACCAATATGATCTTTTTAAAATTGCTTAGGATCTTTTTTACTCCCAGGCTACGGGACACAATGAGTTTTTATTTTCTTTATTTTCCCTTTCCTTTCCCTTTTTTTCTATATGGAATACACAGGATTTTAACTGTGATCCAAAATGTTGAGGAAAACGAATGAGGCACAAAATGGTAGAATCATAGAACATTTATTCCTTTGCACCTAACTTTCAGATAAACATCCCCTGGTACCATCCTTTCATCTATATGCTCACAACATTACCTTCATTTAGTTGCACTATTGCGTGAGGTAAGATTAAACATCCCCAACTAGATAATATTAAAGTAGTGTCTGTTCTGTCTATGGAGATTCTCAGTCATCCAGATCATGGTTGTCCCAAAGGTGCTTTTTCAAGAGGCAACTGGACTTGTTTTTCTTTCAGTTCTCAACCAAGAAGCTTCTTCAGTTGTGACTGGTTGACTGAGAATTGCCATAGACTTTTAGCTATACACTTAGGGATAAACACTCTTCAAATTGTGTGAGAGTATGAACTGATTTCTAGAAAAAATGCAGACTTACAGAAAGCATTTGCGCTTCAGTTTGAGATGCAGATAACACAGAGTCATCCCCAACAATTTATATTGAGAATAAAAGCTAGTAAACTTATATTGAGAAGAAAAGCTAGTTATCCAAAATGACATAAAGTGATAGAATAACACAATAACACAATAGAAGTGTTGGAAGGGACTTTGAAGGTCTTCTAGTCCAACCCCTGGCTCTGGCAGGAAACCATTTCAGACAAATGGCTGTCCAACATCTTCTTAAAAACTGCCTGTGTTGGTGTATTCACAAATTCAAGAGGCAGTGACTAATTATTCTAACTGTCAGGAAAATTCTCCTTAGTTCTAGGTTGCTTCTAGGTTGTTTAGTTTCCATCCATTGTATTCAGGTACTTTGGAAAATAACTTGACTCCCCTGTTCTTTGTGGCAGCCCCTTAGATATTGGAACATAGCTATCATGTGACTCCCAGTCCCTAGTATATTCTGTTATGGTATGTATTAAATATTAAAATTAAATATTTAACCCTTTTATATGTGTTAATAAAGTAATGGCATAGCATGAATGATTTACTTGGAAAACAGGAATAATAAAAAATTGTGTGCATAAATCAAGAAAACACTTGCAAATGGAAAAAAATGCTTTACTGAAGACCAACAACATCAACATGAATATGAAATATGTCTCCAACTATAAGTTCATAGTTTTTGATGCAAGTTTTTGTAAAGCTCCTATACTTCTTTATTTCTGAGTGCACAGATCAATGGGTTTAACATGGGAGTAAGTATTCCATAGAAAACAGAAACTATTTTGTCCCTCTCTTGCATGTTCTTAGCTGGAGGCTGAAGATATGAGAACATTGTTGTGTATAGAAAATTGATACTACCATCAAATGTGATACACATGTAGAGAAAGCTTTTAATTTTCCACATGCAGAGTGAATTTTCAGAATTGCCACAACAATCTGCAAATAAGAGAAAAGAATAAAGACAAAGGGGCCAAGAAATGTGAGAACTCCCGTGAATGGCATAGTTATCTGATTCAAGGAAGTAACTGAGCATATAAGCTTGAAAATGGCTTTTGGGTTCACAGGAAAAATGATCAAACACATTATTCTCACAAAAGTCTGCTGGTATCACATAAATGGGAATTACTCCTAAACAGTGCTTTTTTTGTAAGAAAAAAGGTGCCAGAATTCACATCTTTTTAATCTTTTATTTAAAAAATATATATTCAGTTCTTAGCAGGACCGGTGGTTGAGAAGTAACTAGGTTTTTTTTCTTCATTTTTAAATTTGGGGTCATACTTTTACACTAAAAATTAAAGAAAAGATTTTTAATCCAATTTTTTAAAATAAAGAAATTATTTGCCTTTCTCACATAGTCAATCACTGCACACACACACACACACACACACAAATGTCAGTTGTGTAACGAAACATTGCTAATTTATCAATAGAAAAATGTTCTAAATATTACAATAGTTATACTTTAGGATTTTTTATTTATTTATTTAGAGGTCTCCTTAATCCAAACAGCTTTACTGGCTTACATATTAAAAATCAGAAACATCACCAAAAAAAAGTGCGCGCACGCACACACACACACACACACACACACACACACACTCACACACACACACACATATTCAAACTCATTTAAAATAAAAACAAAACCTTGAAATAGTTCTGCTATCCTTAGTTTTAGTAGTGTGTTTTTGATTTCTACATTTAGTCACTTTTTGAGATGTTGCTGCTTTGGTGCATGCATTTTGATATGTATGAGATGAAGAGGACTTTTCTTCCATTATAAATCATTCCTTTTTCCTGGAAAAATTAAATAAACCATGCATGGGAAGAAGAATTAAATTCAAACAATAATATTATATAACTGAATAAATATATTTTATTTCTTACAAATAGAAAATTTAAAACTTTTCTTACTATTTTTTTAAGAATTCTATCCTTAGTGATACAGTAGAAAAGTCACTTCATATAATGGATTAGTGGCATATAAATTTAATAAATAAATAAATGTCACTTGTCTCAAACAACATTAGCAACTTACATATTAAAAGTCAAAAATATTAAAAGAAAGGAAAAAAGCCATGAACAAATTACACTAAATCTTTATTTAAAAAAATACATTAAAGTAGTTCTGTTATTCATAGTTTTACTAATGACTTCTTGGTCTCTACGTTAGGTCACCCTATTTTTAATTCTAGCACTAATGGCTAATAAAAAGTATTTTCAATGTCAACATGCTTTTTCATTAACTTTTTCATTAATAATATCAGTGTATTTTTAAAAATGTAAAAATATACTACTTATTCCCTTTAGGGACATTTCTAAATGACATTATTTTTTTTTCCTTTCAGCTTTAAGAATATATTTTGCAGATTTACAGTTACTATGTTGTATTCTCATGTTTGTATTATTTTCCGTAATTTAGGAGACATTTCCCAAGAAATACTAAAATATAAATATTACTATGACATATAATTTATAGCAGTGAAAGGAAAAAGAAGGCTAACATTCAATATGAAATTACAAGTAGAAAAAAATCAGTCAAATATTCTATAATTGATAATTCATGAAAAATATTCACATTTTTGTTAACTTTGTAATTTTTAACAAAGCTTTTTTAAAGAAATACATGATGAGAACTAAAGCTGGTCATGTCTTGAACAAGTGAAATATTTCATTTTTGAAGTCATTCAAATCACTTCGGAAGTATAGCAGTGTCATTATGTAGTGTATAGCAGTATCACTATGTGCTTCTGGAGTTAGAATATATCTCAGTGTGCTCCTTATAATGTTAAAGAATGAGAATAATAATGAACAAAATTAGTTCATTATAGAGATATTGTGTTAGATTCTGAGCTATTCTGCATGCAAGATAACTTCTGTAAACATAGAATAGCTTTTTATAGTGATAGCACACATTGATAGCACAGTTTCTGGTGGAAAACCATATTCCTAAAGATGCTCCAATCAATAAATAATAGTATATGCTGGTACTTTTTTGTGAGTTAAAAAAAAATCTGTAAATGGGAAATTTTCAGCCAGTGCTTAGTGTCCATTAAGCTATTTAGAAAGCTGCAGCATTTGGTCACAATGCTGGCAAAAGAAATAGCAATAATCACTTAAAAGGTGGTCAATGGAGTTTTTCACTCATCCAGGTCACAGTTGTCCTAAAGGTGCTTTTTCAAAAGGAACTGGATTTCATTTTTCCTTGAGGATGTTTTGCCTCTCATCCAAAAACTGAAGAATTTTCTTGGACAAGAAACAAATATCTTCAAGGAAAACAAAGTCCAGTTGCCTTTTTTTTAAAAAAAAACAACTTTGGGACACTTGAAAGTTTTAGTTAATAAAGTGAAATGGAAACTGATTTCAAATATTTTCACCATTGATTTGTAATATTTCTCATGTGGAAAGTAAACAACATATACAGTAAGTAAGAAAAAAGATTGTTCAACATAATTGTTCAAAAGAAAGTAGACAGCTACAATTGAGTTCAATATTGCATGCCTGACTTGTTGTTCATTAGAATTCTTCCTAGTGCTCCCAGAAACTCTTGATTTCAGAGTATATAAACTAAGGGGTTGAACACAGGCATTAGTACAGCATTAAAAATAGAAAGTATTTTTTCAGCCTCATGCATATTCTCATTTGGAGCAAGAAGATAGGTAAAAATGGCAACACCATAATACATAGTCACTACAGATAGATGGGACCCACATGTTGAAAAAGCCTTCATTCTGCCCTCTTCTGCTGGTATTCTTAGGATGGATTGAAGAATGCACATGTAAGAAAAAAAGATAAAGGCAAGGGGAAGAAGGAGAATAAATATGCAAGAAGAAATCATCTGTATCTGACTTGAAGAGGTATCGTACAAATCAGTTTTATGATAGATTTCAGTTCACATCCAATGTGGTCAATTTCATTGTTTCCACAAAATCTTGCTGGTTTTACAAGGCAAGGAATTACTGTAAACAGAAAAGCTAGAAACCATGAAACAGCAGCCGTCACAATGCAAACTGTACTGCTCATCATGAAAGTATAGTGCAATGGCCTGGAAATGGCAATGAAACGGTCATAAGCCATGACTACCAGGAAGAAGCATTCTGTTGTCCCAAATAAAAGAATAGCATACACAGAGACATCACAGGCCTATCCACTAAACAATTGGCAATCAATTGAGGAATTGAGGTTGTTGTGAGTCCAAAGTCAATAAAAGAGAGGTTACATAGAAAAAAGTACATGGGGTTGTGGAACTGTGAATCACATATGATGACTAAGACAATAAGGCCATTTCCAGCAATTGCTACAAAATAGGAAACAATATAAACTGGTATTAAAACCATCCTTGACCTGGGTCTACCAGACCAGCCAATGAGGATAAATTCAGTCACTTCAGTCTCATTTTCCCCTACTTCCTGCATTAGGGTTGATCTAGAAAGGAAAATTAAAAAATGACCCAACTATATCTGGAAATTTTTAAATAAGCCCAGGTAATTTTGGCATGGTCAGCATTCTATAAATACTTATTGGAAAACGGATGAAGACAAAACATAACTTTGACTGCATGACTCTCTACTCTTTGATTTATTTTTTCTATCTAAAACAATCACTCTGCAGAGAATTAACAAGTACTAGAACAGAACAGAACAGAATAGAAGCTGCAAGGGGTCTTCGAGGTCTTCGAGTCCAGCCCCCTGCTCAAGCAGGAGCTTCTTCAATGCAGAAAACCTTATAATAACTTTCAAAAATTAGTCTATTTATTCAAAAGAACATCCATCTTCCAGTTATGGGTCTCAGCATTTGCAAATGCATCTGAGTGTTCTTTTGGATATAGTTTAATCACTGAAGTAACCCTTGTCTATGTGCTTGAAATATGCTTGCAATAAATGATCAGATAGCAATCAAGAAACATTATCAGTTTCCAGATAAGTGTCATCAGAAGATTCATTTTCAAGAAATATAATGAAAATTAATATTCTCTTTCTATACAGGTTAACTACATGGAGGTGAGAAATTGTTAACAACAGCATGGGATTAATATTCCCCCTTTTTTAAAAAAAAAAAAAAAATCTCCACCAGATCTGTTGTCAGAAACAAGACATCTTTATACCTGAAGAAATTGTTTCTGCAATTAATAGGGAGATACTGATCCTTCATTAATCTTTCAGAAACCTTTTTAGTATAGTTTGTGTTTGGTAATAATTAAAGAAATAATGAAAGATTCACACATCAGAAAATATGTATAAAGAGATTCATAGTGAAGCTTCCATTCATGTTTTATTACCTTTATCCCCATCTCTCTTCAAAATTTAAATGCAATCTTTCAATTTAAGAAAATTCACATTAAATTATGTACTAGGAAACACTGTTTTAAAAACTAACATAAAAAATTAAATATGAAGACAGAAACATATAAAGAAGAAATTAAAATGATATAATTGAAGACAATGAAAGGAAGGAAGGAAGGAAGGAAGGAAGGAAGGAAGGAAGGAAGGAAGGAAGGAAGGAAGGAAGGAAATTTTTGAGACTTAAAATAATGACTTAACTCACTTTTGTATATGACCAAGAACTGAATCCTTCAATCTCATCTACTTAGGGGTCTCCAACTTAATTACTGAGAAGACATTTGACTGTAATAAACAATCATAAAAATAAATTTAAAAAATATCCTCTTCTAGGATGAAATCACTGAATAAATATGAAGATTACAATTCTTATTATTTCTTTGCTTTGCTCTGTAGAAACCTGGATTTATATTTAGAAGAAGGCAGTTCTACTTAAGTGATGTGGTTCTTCCCAATTAAAAAAAAAATCTCCTTTCTTTTATCTCTAATTAATTCAAACATTAATTAGTCTGAAATATGATCTACTAATCTACAATAAGGATAAAGGATTTATAGTCCATCTACCACAGAACTCATGATTACTGGAATTTGGATATAGTGGGATAAAACAACAACTTCCCATTAATAGCTATATGAACCCATATAGATCCTCACATAACGTAATGCTAATTCTGTTCTGATTCTCCTATATATTATGGTGGTGCCTTTGGTTGAGTAAGAAACTTGAATATTTTCTTCACCCTATAACTTTCCAAAATAGATTTTAGTTTTTATAATTCACAAATTTATGTTTGCAGCTAGATGAAATATGAGGCATTGTTTTTTGTATCATGTCCATTTTTTATGGATAACAGCATGAAATAAAATGGAAAAATTGAAAATTATTATCAACATATAAATTATTCACTTGTGGCAGTATGAAAATCACAATTATTAACATTATTTGATTTTTCTGAGAGACAAATACTAAGAGAGAATTTTCCAAATCTAATATACCAGGATATTATTATATTGTATATGATGGAAAGCAATAAATTTGGAATATTTATAATTAAATATATGGAGGAAAATATAGCAATGATTAATGTAAACTACATATAGGTACATAGTAAGAACAATTATTAATTAATTTTACCAAATGAAATCATCAGGAATTATTTCTCCACTGAAGATATTTGATTATTATATTTTGCTCATATTGCTATTATTAAGTAATAAAACAAGTAGTTAAAATATTATTTTTAAAATTATGTTTGTTCCAAAACGGAATAACGAATCAATATACTGCATATGAAAAATTAAAGGAATAAATGCCCATTCCTACATTCAAATGTTCTTCTTTTAAGACAGAACCATATTTTTAATTCATTTTCTATATCAGATCAATGTAGAAAGTCATGTTTGAAGAAATGTCATGTCTGTTGATTAATATTCAGAATAGAACTCTCATGATAGATCCACCTTATTAATATTAATGCTAAAAAAAGAAAGTTGTTTTCGTTGTCAATCTTTTTTCCTTAAAAACAATATCCATCAGTTTTTAAAAATACAGAGTATACTATTTTGTTCCCTTTATGTGTTATTCCCATATGTCTCATTATTTTTTATCCGTGTTTTAAGGATATCTTTTGTAGTTACATAGATTCTTGTACAAATTTCTCATGTTCCATTATTTCTCCATAATTTGAAAAAAATATCAAAGAAACATTTAAATATAATATTGGTACAAAATGAAGTTTCCTAGCAATGAAAAAAAAAAGACAGATTTTTCAGAAATTCAGAATTTCAGAAACTAGAAATTTTGCCTATAGTAGATCAGTTCAGACAAAAAAAAGGCTATAATTTTTGAAAAACATTCTCTTGTTTCTTTGTTGTATTTGTAAGTTTAATGAAGTTGTTATGAAAGAATTATATATTGTTAACTGAACCTGGTCATGTACCAAAGAACCTGTTCTAAGTGATGTTGAGCAATTATAATTTGAAAAGATTAACAATATAATTCTATAATTATGAAATTAGCAGTTTATCTCAGTATGTTTTATATGTAGTAAATTACTAAATTTTATATGGTATTATTGTTAATAATTTGATGAAACAAAATGTACAATAAAAAGAAAAACACTGATTTTCTTGAATGTATATTTAATGATATAGTGTTTTACTTCTATCAAGTTCTGTTCTTTAAGAATAAAACATTAAAAGCTACATCTATTTTTAAAGAGAAATAGAGACCTGTTTTAATTATGCCTTAAAATAAGTACATTATTTTAAATAAGTTTTTTTTAAGTGAATGCAATATTTTAAATATCTCTTAGTAACTGGATCGTGGAGGAAAACATTATGTTCTGCTAGAAAAATTAAATAAAAAATTAAATCTGTTTAAAGAGAATTAAGGAAAAATCATAATCTGTTCATAAATCAATAGCAAGCAATCTTCCTTTCATTTTAAATATGCTTGTTTTATAATCAGTCAAAATCATACTACATTTATGTATATACAAAAATATACTCACATACTTTTTCTCTTTGGTCATATCTCCCAATGCCTCTTTATTGATAAAGTTATCCCATCTCTAAAACTTTGAAAATAGTGAATGTATACACATGATTGTAGGGAACAATTATTTTATGAGAGTTCATAGAAAATACTTGGAAAAGAAAACAGGGCAACACTTTACAGGTAGTCCTCGACTTACAACAGTTCATTTAGTGACTGTACAAAGTTACAATGGCACTGGAAAAATGTCTTATGACCTTTTTTCACACTTACACTTACATCCCCATGGTTCACATGATCAAAATTCAGAAGCTTAGCAACTGTCTCATATTTATGATGGTTGAAGTGTCCCAGTGTTATGTGATCATCTTTTGTGACCTTCTGACAAGCAAAGTAAAAGGGAAAGCCTGATTCACTTAACAATCATGTCATTCATATATATCTAAACTGAGCTTGAGGGGTCCTTGGTGCTCTCTGAACTTTTCATTATCCAAACTAGATAACATCATCAATGCTACTAGGGAATGCAGTTTATCTTCTAGTGCAGGTATGTCAAACTGCCAGCCCGCGGGCCAGATGTGTCACACCACAACCGCACCCACCCCATTGCCGGCAATGGGGGAAAAGTCCCAATACATCACGTGATGTCACATGATGTCGTGAGTTTGACATGCCTGTTCCAGTACCTTGCCCTGTCAGTGTTAATGGGCATGGTCTTGGAGGTTCCACTGCCCCACTGGGTGTTACTATTAATTTGCATGGCAATTTCTTGATTGAGGTATTGTTTGATTCTTGATTGATAGTCTGATCTTAATGTTGGAGTTATTCTATGTTCATCTGCATGTTTTGGTCCTTTTGTTCCCTTTTTGGCTTGTTGATTACAGAAAGAAATGAGCCTTTTTACGTATTATAATAATAGAGAATAAGATAACTTTTTAATCATAGTGATATTTGCTGGAAAGGAAATTGGAAATTTTTTAATTTTCTTTTTTTCCTTCTTTTTGCACTTTTATTTTTGTTTTCATTTTTATGTCTGCTCTCTACTTAGTTTGTGCTAGATTTTAAAAGAAAAAAGAAAGAAAGAAAGAAAGAAAGAAAGAAAGAAAGAAAGAAAGAAAGAAAGAAAGAAAAGAAAAATATGTCTATGAATTAAAAATCTCTCTGTTTTGGTCTTTTTGTTCCTTTTTGGCTTGTTGATTACCTCTTTTGCACAGTATGTACATATTGTTTATACCTTTCTATTGATATCTAATTTGTCAGAATGCCAGGGTTGTAGAAATTCTGTAGCATTTTTGGACTTGGCTTGGTCTAGGATGGTCATACTTTCTCAGTTGGAACTGTGGTTAGGTCTGTCCATTAGTTGTGAAATTAAAGAGTTTTCATCATATCTTCTGACTGCTTGTTGATGTTCATGAATGCCTTCTACTAATCTTCTTCCTGTTTGTACTATGTAGTGGCTATTGTATAATTCCATTGTATGCTGTAGATGATTCCTAAACCAAGGTTGTTTGCCTACAAGCATACCTGTTTAATCAGCTTTCTATGACTATAATCACATTAACATTGCATTTTCTCCTGGAAATTATATTGAAATCCTATCTGTATCATCTTTTTATACCTCTCTCCCCAGTGTGTTTATATTTAAGTTTGTGTGTGTCTGCCTTTGTGTTTATATTGCTTTTGTTTCTAAATTTTAAAGATGCTTTAATCAAAGAATATTGGCATGTGATTGTGCTATTCTCTATCTTCTTTTAAATATAAAGGGTGGATTCTTAGCTACTGCTTTATGCTGAAAATCTATACTTTGCTGTGTAAACAATCATATTTATAATTACTAATAAAATTGTACAATATTGTCTGTATGAAGTAATAATGATTTCTTTCTCTGAAGCACGGTACCTGAACATGTATTCAATTCAATTTATTCAAAATATTTTATATTCTTAAGGATTATTCACAAAGTGTTATAAGTCCATTATGCTATTCACCAGCTTGCAGCATTTGGTGAAGATGCCTAGGAAAGCAATAGCAAAAATCACAAGCAGCTTCAGTTAGTGAAGTGAAAAGATTTCACAGTTTCAACAGAAAATGAACTACAGATATATCAGGGAATGACTGTTCAAAATTACAAAGAAAACCAACAGGCTAAAAGAGTTATACTGATGTTCAATGTTGCATGCCAAGCTTGTTCTTCACTATTATTCTTCCTAGTGCCCCCAGAACCTCTTGATTTCGGAGGGTATAAACTAAAGGGTTGAAGACAGGGGTTAGCACACTATTAAATACAGATAGTGTTTTTTCAATCTCATGCATCTTCTTATTTGGAGGAAGAATATAGATAAATATGGAAACACCATAATACATAGTCACTACAGACAGGTGGGAACCACATGTTGAAAAAGCCTTTATTCTGCCTCCTTCTGAGGACATCCTTAGGATTGCCTGAAGAATGCACATGTAGGAAAAAAGTATAAAACCAAGGGGAAGCAGGAGTGCCAGAATGCTGCTGAAGTATATGCTTATTTGGCTCAAAGAGGTGTCTGTGCAAATGAGGTTAAACATTGATTTAAATTCACAACCTATATGATCAATTTCATTGTTTCCACAAAATCTCGCTGGCTTTGCAAGGCAAGGGACTACTGTAAGTGTAAAAGCTATAAACCATGAAACAGCAGCCAAGAAAATGCAAACTGTCCTGCTCATGATGAAAGTATAGTGCAATGGCCTGGAGATGGCAATAAGACGGTCATAAGCCATGACAGCCAGAAAGAAGCATTCTGTTGTCCCAAATAAGAGAATAGCATACATTTGAATAAAGCATCTAGCAGAAGACATCACAGGTCTTTCCACTAAGCAATTGGCAATTGACTGTGGGATTGTAGATGTTGTGAATCCAAGGTCAATAAAAGAAAGGTTACATAGGAAAAAGTACATAGGATTGTGGAGCTGTGAATCACATATGACTACTAAAACAATGAGGCCATTTCCAGCAATTGCTAAAAAATAGGAAACAATATAAACTGGTATTAAAATCATCCTTGACCTGGGTCTACCAGACCAGCCAATGAGGATAAATTCAGTCACCGCAGTGTCATTTTCTCCTACTTCCTGCATTAGGGTTGATCTGGATAGGAGAAGAAGAAAAAAGCATAAATATATCTTTTGCATTTGCAAAATGCATGGAAGTCTATTTGATATAATCAACCTTTGGATGTTTAATGTCTAAAGTGATCCTTGCCTATGTATGTGAACTATTTTTTTCAATAAATGATCAAGAAACAATCAAGGAATATTGTCAATTTCCAGCTAAGTGTCATCATAATATTTTTTTATAGAAAAGAAAAGTAAAATTAATATTCACTTTCTATATCGGCTACCTTGAAGTTTGTCATAAGTTATTAAATTTGGCATGGGATTAATTTCCTTTTAGAATCTCCACTAAATCTTTATTCAGAAACAAGAAATCTTTAATTCTGAAGAAATTAATAGGGAAATATTGAAAGAACAAACTTTTATAAATCTTTAAGATTCCCTTTGAGACACTTAAAGAAAAATGTTGTAAGATGTAGTTTCCTAGCAATAAAAAAAGAAACAGCAGTCCTATTCAGAATTTCAGAAAGTGATATTTTGTCCTTCTTTTATATTCAAATAAATATTCTATATGCAATTCATTTCATTATTTCTTTGTTTCTTTTGCAAATTAAGCCAATTTTTATGAAAAAAATATGCATTGCTAATTAAACCTGGTCAGGCATTGAATAACTTTAAAAAGTCAGTTTATTCTAATACCACTTTCTTCTATAAGATATTATAACAATTTAAGAATGTTAGCATTATAATTTTATGATTGTGGAGTTAACAATATTCTAAGTATGCTCTATATGACGTAAATTATTGTAAATTATAAGAAAAAATTTGGTATGACTGCAAATAATGTGATGGAATTTATAACAAAAAGAAATACATTAATTTCTTCAAACGTAGATAGCTGATATTGGATTCTATGTTCTATCAAGTTTTCTTCTTTAATAATAAAACATTAAAATATATATCTATTTTTTCAATAAGAAACATATTTTAGTTATGCCAAAATAAGTCTTTGTCTAACTGAACACAGCATGTTTTAAATACCTCTTAGTAACTGGATCTTGAAGGATCACTTTATGTTTTGTTGGAAAATTTAACACTGAAAATTCTTTTAAAGACTATTAAGGAAAGATCAAATTCTTTCAATATTCATAAATCAATAGCAAGCAACTCTTCTTTCATTTTAAATATATTTGTTTTATAATCAGTCAAAATCACACTGTATGTTTGTATATACAGAAATATACTTTGTTCTGTTTAGGCATATTCCCCAATGCCTCATTAGCTATTAAAGTTATGCCACCTCTAAAACTTTGAAATAGTGAGTTGCACTGAATGTATACATATGAAATTGAGAAAAATATTTTACATGAGTTCATAGAAAATACTTGAAAATGGAAAATAGATTTTGTGATTATATGGGGCAACATATTATCATAGACCAAGCACGGTTTTATTATATATATATTTCTGATTAACATAATGAAGATATCATTCTTATTTTTCAACAGCTGAAAACACATATTACATATAATTTTCATTGGTGATATACTTGTTTAAAAAATGACAAAAAATGACATACAATGTGTGTGCCCATAGAGATATACCCATGGAAATAAATGTGCATGTGAGAAGATTCCAGGTAGAACATTGTCAGGCTAACACACCTACTTCGAATAGCAGAGAAGGCAATGATGAACTTGCTGGTAGCCAGCCTTTATGCCTTATTGAATGGAGCTTTCCTGGACAAGGAGGAAGGCAAGAGATTGCCTGTCTGTGGTCCAGAGAGTTATTTCTTCAGAGAAAATTGGCAAGGTCCAAGGGCAAACTATCAGCCAATGTTGAGTAGAGTGCCAGGACAACCCCAAGCACAAAATCTTAGATGGATGCCATTGAATAGCACTTTGCTAATTGAATCTACATTAAAGCAATTTGGTGGAAGAGTGAAAAGAATTTACAGCTAATATAGATTTTAAATGGACAAGAGAACATAATGCCATTTGGATGGATCATCATTCCATGAAAACAATTAAAAGTTAAGAGACAGAGAGATATAAAATAAGGAAGATTTAAAGAAAAAAGTTTGCCTGTGTTTGGTCTAAGAAAGTTAAAAATGGGATAAAACAATAGTTAAATTTGGAGTTTTATTAACCACAAAATTAAAAACAGTTGAAATTATGACTTAAATACTATGTACCTCCATGGGAAACAGAATTGTTAAGATTGTTTGATAAAGATGATTGGCTGACTTTGTTAAATGTGGGAGTGGGGAAATAAAAAGAAATAAAGAAAAAGAATTTTCTGTAGAGAATCTCTTCTTTGCCTGACCATTCTCCAGCATGATTGGATGGAAAACCCACGGATGGGTTGTCTTAATCTATCTGCTCCAATTAGACTAAGTCTGAAATTTAGTACTGCCCCCTCTGTGCCAACTGCACCCCAGTTTTAGACTTAGTCTCTTTGCTCTAAGATGCGTTTTTTCTTTGCTCCTGGAGCAGAAGACTGTGTATTTCTATTTTATTTTATTCCCTTTAGCTTAGTGCTAACCATTTTTATTAATAGATTTGACAAACCTCCCTTTGGGGGGGGGAAACTTTCTCTTTCTCCCTTTGACAGTCTTTCAGCTTCACAATCAGCTTGAAAATTGGATTCCCAGAAGCAAGAGAAATCTCCTACCAGGGGCCGTTCCTCTGCATCAGAGGCTCCGTTCTTCTAACCAGAGCCTGGAGGCCTTAGAGGCAGGGGTAAGCTTGCCAATTGACTGGGGGGCTCCGCAAGCAACGACGAGGCTCGTCAGGCCTGGAGGAAGCCTTTTCTAGGTCCCTCGGCCTCAGCAGACCGCCCCAGCAGCAGGAGAAAGTTTTTGGCACCGATCCAATTTTCGGAGCCTGGAGGCCTTACTAGGCCTCGGCCTGCCTCAGCCTCTCTCAGCTCACCTAATTCCGAGGCCTGGAGGCATTACCGGCCTCAGCCAGCCTCAGTGCCTCCCAGCTGACCATCCTAACACCCTCCGCTGCGCTAGGAGCCCAGGCGATTCTTCAGAACAAGGGCTCACCGCAGTTCAGGCCTCTGCTGCGCTAGGAGCCCAGGCGATTCTCAGGAACGAGGGCTCATCGCAGTTTAGGCCTCAGGCCTCAAGGCCTCCTTTCTAATGGCCGTTTTTGGCATGCAGAGCTTGCAGCCGCCATTTTGAATTACCTCCAGGCCGCCATTTTGGAACTTACAGAGGCCCAGACTGCCTACAGGATCATTCCAGAAGGCAGTTTTCTGACAAGTTGAGACAGAGGCCTTTAGATTGATCAACCTTATCACCGGACAAGAGTGATTGGATTGGGGAGGGCCAGCTTGTTCCGGAAGGACACAGTGCCTACCAACCCCACATGGCCCACCCCCCTCACTGGGCCGGATCATCTCTGCTGGGCTCCCTTAGTAAGCTATAAAGCCGAGGGGGGGCTCATTTTGCTGAGGTTGAGCCCAAAAGCAGATTCATCATGGCAGAAAAATCTACCATCGCCGGCCAAGAGGAATCATCCTACTGAGGCAAGTGGAAAGAATAACTCCAAACGAACCAAGTCACACAGGGAAACCACTAATCCACAGAGGTTCCCCAGGTCAGACAGGCACAATGGGAAGGCCCATTTTTGAACCCCTTTCCTCACATTGTGCCTCAGCCCCAAGGGCCTGGTCTCCCCCCAGGGGAATTTCCCAACTAGAATCAGCCACAAGGGCGGCCCCAGGGACAGGCTTGACTAGCCAGGATACCCTTAATTTGGGCCCTCAGGCCAAATTCACCCCCACTGCAGCAGGGCTTCGCCCTCCTGAGAACCAGACTCTAAACCTGGACTACCTTCAGTCCATGATAGCCCAGGCTATGGCTCAATTCATGGCTTCCAATGCCCAACAGCCACCCCCACAATCCATGTATCATTCCCAATCTCCAGATATCATGGATGAACCTTCATCAGATCTAGAATCAACAGGGGCTGAACCATCGGGCCTGATTATGTCAGAGGATGAAGGTATCACTTCATCTGACCCCACCCCTCCTGTCGGTCTCTTTGACCATTCACTTTAATTCCCTGCTAATCAGGGCCTGCACAACTGCAAACCTCTCTCAAGAGCAGGAGTCCCCACCTGCAACATCCAAGGGTCCCCATGCCATATATACCGAACCCTCAGCCTCTCAGAATCATATCCCCTTTTTTTCTCAATATAGTTCAAAAACATGGGAGAATTTAGGACCCCTCTCAAGTCCTGGTACCATAGAGAAGACATTATTCAATGTTGCCCCTTCCCTGATCTCCCTATTGGAGATTCCTGAGACTGATGAACCATTGAACTCATTGTTTTCCAGTGCTAACATCCTGGGGATATAGATGAGGCACTTAGGGCGGAGAATAAAATGATTGACTCCGCATTGCGTAGGTCCCATCTGGCATCAGCCTGGACAACAAAGGCGGCAACATCCTGGCCTTCTTCGCCAGGGCTTCAGTCCTTGGGTTATGTGAGCTCCAGGACATGATCCCTCCGGACCAGCTCAGAGCTCACCAAAATCTGGGTAAGTTAGTGGCTACATCCCAGTTCCTAGCCAACGCTTCTCGGCACATGGCTAGATACACTGTCCGGACCATTGCTGCAGACATCTCAGCGCGAAGGCTCCCTTGGCCCAGGAATTGGTGAGCAGACACCAAGACCAAGTGACGTCTGGCCTCTAAACCCTACACAGGTGGACATCTCTTTTGTAAGGCACTAGAACCATACTTAACTGAAGGTAAGGACAAACGTAAAACTCTGGTTAACTCATGTCACAGAACAATTAAAGGAGACAGTCCTTTCGACCACCTCCATCCTAGGACTGGGCCCGGGCATCTCTCTATTCCTTTCAAGGATTGTTCAGCATACAGAAGCAGACCACAGATCCAGGCCAAGCGGCCCCTTTGAGGCACGGGGGGCCGTTCCTCTAAACGAGGCAAGTGATCTCACAGTCTCACCTCCCTTAGGAGGCCGGCTGGCCCTTTATTCCAGCACTTGGGCAGCCACCACTGCAGATGCGTGGTGTTAGACACCGTCACCCAAGGTCTGAGACTAGAACTTGTTCTCAACCACCTGACAAATTCCGCTCTTGCCCTATTCCAACGAGCAGGTCCAGGGCTGATCTTATGTCAGAGGCCATAGCTCATTATTACAAATACAAGCAATTGAACCAGTACCACAAGACCATGAAGGACGAAGGTTTTACTCAAACCTCTTCGTCATCCCTAAGACTTCGGGGGGCTGGAGGGCAATCTTAGACTTGAAAGGTCTAAACCTTACTTGAGGTATAAGAAGTTTAAGATGCAATCACTTCAATCAATCCTGGCCAGCATCAGGCAAGGTGACTCTCGTACCTCAATAGACCTAAATGCGGCATATTTGCACATTCCCATTTATCTGACCACAGCAAATTCCTCAGATTCAGCTATGCCCAATGCCACTACCAGTACAGAGCCCTACCATTTGGCCTCTCATCGGCACTGAGGGTATTCACAAAGGTACTGGCAGTGTTCGCAGCTCACCTTAGACAAGTTCCAATCAGAATTCAATGCTATTTAGATGACATACTAATTCAGTCATCATCATTCCGAAATGCTCAGTCAGACCTCGCCCTAGCCATCAAGGTTTTTCAGGAGCACGGTTTTCTGTTAATTTCTAGAAAAGTCATACTGTACCAACAACCCGGCTATAGACATGGACAATTGTACGGTCTACTTATCTCAGGACCGACGGAACTCTATTCAGACCCTTGTATGTCGGATCCGAAGGGACAGAGTAGGCACATTGGCCTCCCTATCACAGCTACTGGGGAAGACAGTCCTGTGTGCAAATTGTGCCATGGGCACACCTCCAGGCCAGAGAATTACAGTGGCCTTTCCTTCCATTTCAGAGACTTCACACCAGCACATCCTACCAGAAGGTCCGAGTTCCACGACCGGTGTTGAATTCCCTTCGATGGTGGGACTCCCCGTCACAGGGAGCAGAATTCAAAGAACCAGACAGGATTACCATTACCACAGACGCAAGCCTGCTTGGGTGGGGGGCACACCTCCACATGCACTGGGCTCAAGGTCGGTGGTCCAACAGGACCTAAAGAATAAGACAGACTGGCTGGAACTCAGAGCCATACATATGGCCCTAAAGAGATT